CGGTGAAATTGAGTTTGACACCCCTGTTGTAAATGATGTATTAAGTACAATGTATTATTTTAAAATCAGATATAAAAATAAAACAGTCACGCTAACTCTTTGACAATGCCAAAAGTAATACCTTTATAATATTACAAATGATTCAGAATATTTACCCATTTCACATATTTTATTGCATCTTTTTCTAAGTAAATTTAATAAAGTATAAATATTTTTCTTATTCAATTAAACTTCACCGTTTAGTAAAATGTATAAATCATATAATTTCCCCAAGCAATACATGCAAGTGGAAAATAGAAGTGTTTCCTTTACGTTTATGTCCAATAAAATAACGGAAAAAGGGAAAATTTCTTATGAAGTCAGACAACTTTCCTTTATTTGTAACATACAAATAAAACATTGACAAGGCAGAATGACTTTCCCTTTCATTGTCACTGAAACAAGCTCTCAAACATGGCGTTTGTTTTAATTCAACATCACGTTTTTTTAAAAAAGCATTTCGCCCCTAAAAGGCCGAGAAGAGACGAGAGGATGGATCCACAACAGCTTATATATATTTATACTTATGTACAGAGAGGAAACGAAAATGAAGAAACCAGAAATACTCACTGGATTCAAAACAAACTGGTTACAGAAATCCTCCTCAATCCCCAGTGAGGGTTTTTATTAAAAAAAACAAAACAAAAAAAAAACAGCCTGCAGCAGATCTAAATTTACTCTCATGCAATGTCACATTTTTATAGGAACTGGAACAAACTAAAACCAAACAAGTTACTTACAGGGATTTCAGTGTTTTCACTATTCAGGTTGTGTTTAAAGTCTTTTACATATGAAACCGACTCCAGATCAGAGCCAACAGGAAGCTGAAAAGATGATTGACTGACCTGAGAGAGAGAGAGAGACTATGCAGAACAGCATTGATCTAATCGTGACCTATATGGTACAAAAATGTGAGTTATAACAGAAATAAGCATGTTGCCTGCTCCTTTAGTCCTTTTCCTGATCACTGAAAAAGACTGAAAACTTTTTTCTTTTTTAGTTGGGAAACAATCAGCAAGTCTCACTTCATATTCAGTCAGCCATGCGGTTAGTTTTGTGATTCATGACCTTTCTGACCTGTGTAGTTTTTCACATTTCAGCCTCCAGCTTCACATTTTACAACAGGCATCAAAACCGTACAAAAACTCGATAGAACCGCTTACAAAACAAACAAAAAAACGTACCAACCTAACACCCTCATCATGATGCTAGATGGGGAAACTTCTCATCTACTCCTCAAGCATGCATTTCAAAACAAACAGTACTGGATGTAAAACCAAAGAGCTTCTGGAGGGAGAAAAAAAGAAGCAAAACACAGGGTTTCTGATTTGTAATAGCGCATGAACCACCCTCACGATTTTTTGTTTTGTTTTCTTTTTTAAACAAATGGATGTGAAAGTAACCTTAAAACGATTAAACTATTACTTTTTGGTGAGACAAATGTTATGCACGTGTGCAGAACTTACTGAATGAAGTCCAGATTTCATGCAGCTGCACGTTTTGGCATATTTCTGCTGGTTTAGAAAATTTGCAAAAGGAAATTCAGAGCTGCTGTTGGACCAGTTTTCACCATTCATCCATACTGGGGAACGGAGAAGGAATGACGCTTGGCTTCTGAACCCGATTCTGGTCAGAATCAGTATGATTTTAGACGACTGCGTGAACGTTTTGTTTATGTTGGCTCTTTAGTTGTTTACTGATGCTGTTCTTTTTCCAGAGTAAATTGATTATACGGCAAATATCAGAATTTGGTGCTCAACTCTAAACACAGGATCTCATATTTACATGCATGTTTAAGGTTTATTAACTGAATGTCTCAATTGTTGTGTGGAGCAATTAAGTTTCTGGTTTAATTCTGGGTGGATTTTTCCACAATTCGCAAATGGAAGAGTTTCTATGAATTAATCAACAGCGTCATCCTCAAATGTAAAAACTGTTGAAGTTGGAGCTTAATAGTAACCTGTTTCTTCATATTTTCTACTTCCAACAAGAAAGTCCCAGCTCCAAAATGACTAAAATTGTCGAGCTAGATGGTAAAAACTTGGGAGTCGGGAACCTGTTCCAACAGGTCAAAGATCAAAAAGTCCAAACTGGGTCTGGAAGGCTAAACTGGACCAACATCAAACCTGTACCAAGAAATCAACCAATATAAACAAACTCTACACTGTCTAATAAGATGTCAGATGTGATTGAGGTACAAACGGCTATTAATAGGAGTGTATGTGAATATTTGACCCTGCATGTACGCTGCAAAAACACAGAAAAGAAGGAGTTCCACTGACAGATTATTTCACAAAGCATTTTTCTCATGCTAAGTGAAAAAAAATCTACCAGTGGAACAAATACTTTTCAAAAATCAATATTAAAAGGAATTATTTAATTAAAACAAGCTCCTATATCTTACCGAAATGTTACTTGTAGGTTAGTTTTATCTCATTTAAAGTGTACCAAGATATTTGCACAAGAAACTAGACCAAAGAAATACTTTATAAGATTTTGGGGGGGGGGGGGGGGGGGGGGTTCTGTGGGTTAGGTTTTAAGCTGTGCAACCACTTCAGTTTTTTGCTGTATAGTTATTCCACCTGTGGCGAGTTGTGATCTGAGCTCTAAATATGGATTTATAACACTGATATCTGGACCTGTGAAAAATGAGGCAAAATGGTCAAAAGGATCTTCCAGAACTTTTAGGCACAGAGGAGAGGGAAACGCGAAGGAGAAACTGGAGCGTGGGAAACCGATAAAGCGCTAAAAGAGAGGACAAGAATAAGTAATCTAAACTTCTGGATTAAAAATGGCAATAAAATAAAGAAAAATTAGGAGTAAAGCAGCTTCTATGTAAATACAAACAGGGAATGATGGGGGACTGAGCAGATTATAGCAATGCTGTGACCGTTTCCGTAAGGCAGGGAGAAACGTCCGTCGTCAAGAAGCTGCAGCTTGTCGGCAAAAACTGGACAACTCATTCAAGTTTCACACCTGCTGTCTTGAGTCAGGACATGATTTAAAGCTTTCCAACTGACTAGAGGCTGGACCAGCACCAGTATCGGGTCTTAAGCCACAGAATCAATGAATCAAAATGACTCGTTACACTGCAGAACATGAAGAGACTGGAATATATCTACGAACGGCAATGAGTGGGTGGAGGTGAAAAAAAGAGGGAGCGGGTCAGTAAGTTGGGAGAAGAGAGAAAAGCTTGAGCTGCTTTCCGTCTTTGCAGCAGGAATAAAAACAAACACACACAAAACAGAATCTTGGAAAAAAAGCTTATCAGCATCAGGACTTCCACCTGCGGCTCGTTTCTGACGCCGTTCAACCCCCCAACCCAGAAAAACGCTCCGTCATCCACACACTCGCACAGCTTTCGGAAGTTGTCGCCAATCAGTGGCAGCAGCCGCCGCAGTGGCCGCCGCCGTGGGTGTGGCCGGCGGACGCCTCGCCGTGTTTGGTCCGCCTGCTCAGGATCTCGTAGGAGCAGTCGTCGCCGCAGCAACCAGACATGCTCGGCGAGGTTTCGTCGATCTCGAATCTGGCGGAGGAAGAAAAGTTTATTAGTGAAGGAGAGGCGGCAGAGTCGATTTTTCCCCATAAACGCACCGGGTGAAGATGTAAATAGCCCTGCCTCAGCAAAATTTAACACCTGTAATTAAATTTGAATTGCCAACTTGCATTTTCTTTAATAAATTTAAAGAAAAGACCGTAATTTAAATCAATTAAGGCTTTAATCTTAATTAAGTTAAGCGTTTTTAAGACCATTATCAAATAAATTTAAGACCTATATTGCAACAGAGATGTAGAAAAGAAATGCTGTAAATTTTTAGGGCTTCTTTTGTGGCGCTGGGCAGCAGCTTTGTGCTCTCAGGATAGCTAGCTAGCAAGTGTTAGCAGCTAGTTACCGGTAGCCTTAGCTGCTTCTGGTAACAGATTGAATAGTCTGCACACGACTGAGATTTTTGTCAGATAGAAAAATCCCGCAAAAAATGTCTACGTAGAATATAAGAGATTAAATAGTCCCACCTTGATAAAAATTAAGACCTGTTAATAACATATTTAAGACTAGCTTACATTTGTTTTAATGAATTTAAGATATTTTAAGGCCTTGATTTTAAATATATGGATTTAAGACGTTTTAAGAGACAACCTGAAAATATAAAATGAGAATTGGGAGCGTTGGAGGATTTTAGCTGTTTTTAAAAGCAGTGCTCTGTAAGAGTTGCAACTTTCAGTATTTATTGAAATTTGTCCATAACCAGCTCCTGTACTCACTGTAGAGCTTCTCTGAAGAACTGGTAAGCCCCGTGGTTGTGCTTGAAGACCGTCAACATCACCTTCTTCATCTGCGTACTGAGCGGAAACAAAAGGACAAACAATATTAGTTTATATATTCACCACTTGGAAATAATTATCAAGATCAAAGCACTTGCAGGCCACACAAAAAATTAGTTTTTCTTAAGAATAAAACTCCTAAATCATTGTACAAAATCATTTTAAGTAACTCAAATGGCCCCCAGACCATACATTGGACATCTATGATTTAAAATGCACAGTTTAAGTCTTGATGCAGGAAGGGGAGGAACCAAAGGTCTCCGTGTGGAACCGTGGCTGCGGTCGTCACCTGTTAGCGATGAGCTGCAGTATCTGGATGAGGAACTTTCCGAGCCCTTTCCTCCGCATTTTGCTCTCCAGCTGCACTTCGTAGCTGCACAGCAGACAACGCATGACAAACGGAAACAAAACTCGCCTCCGGGGTTTTTATCCGGATAGCGGGAGCATCCTACCAGTATAAAACCTCTTCCCCGCACTCCACGTCGAATCGGAAGTGGGAGAAGGCCAGGGGGGTGGAGTCTGCGTCGCGGGCCAGCAGGTACCACGCCCTCTCGTCGTTCATCTCCTCCCTCTTTTCCCTCTCCTTCCATCCCCACTCGCTCTGCTCGTATCTGCAGTCACAGCAGAGAGAAAGCTGCTCTGAAGCCTCACAAACTCCAGAGAGATGTTACAATGGTCTCCACTGGATTGGAGCAAATTTGGAAAGCCGGAGAAACTTTGCTAAAGTGTAAGGGGAAAAAAATAAATAAAAAATAGAAGACGAAGCAATTGACATGACGCCTTGGCAAGATCTCAAAAATGTGTAAAGAATGAATGTTTTTCATTGTCTGTCGGTTTGTAGTTCTGTTTGGTTTTGATTGTAATTGTCAGACATGTATGTAATTAAACACTAACCTGGTTTTTCATAAATGCATAATCTGTTAAATTCTACTTTATTACATTAACCTGTCCAGGGGCTGCAGGTGGAAATGAGCATTTTTTCGTGGTAAACTGGTGCCATGCATCGCTGATTCTTCATAAAAGGTGAATGAAATGTTGCACATTGTCTCTGTCTCAACAAATATACAGTAAATATGACGCCATAATGGTACAACAAAAACATTTTTCCCTTATTTCTAAGGAAAAAAACTAAATTACAATAATCAAGTTGTATGAGATAAGCCATAATAATACAAGAATAAAATCATAACTACGAGAATAAAGTCAAAATATTGAGATTAAAGTCAAAATTAAAGTCGAAAAAACATGACAATAAGGTGAAGATGATATAAGAATGAAGTGGTAATAAAGTATTTAAGTAAAGCTTGAATTTTTAAAGTGAATTTTCCCAACTCAACATTTAATCGTGTTTTCCAGTTATTTCCCACCAAACCTCTCTGACCTCGGCACTGTCGTAACGATCAACCCCGACGCCCTGAGGTTCAGCTCCTGCAGGTGAGCGGCGTTTAATGCTGATCGGTCGGTTACTGCCAAACCCACTGGACTGACCAACAGGCGGCGTCATGTGAATTGATCCCGTCTGCGTTCGGTTTTCTAAACTACAACAGAACCAAACTTCTTACAGCGTCTGCATGTTGGCTCTGGTGAGTTCGAAGGCCCACTCCACGGCCAGCGGGTTGAGCGAGGTCACTCTCTTGCACTCTATCTGCAGGTTCAACCTGGACCAGACGAAAATCATCAGTTCAACGGCACCGGAGACGAGGAAAGTCGGAAAAACGTGCAGAAACCGATGCGTACCCATGTCTGTCGTACTTTTTGAAGGCTGGGAAAGCAGCCAGAGGATCGTCAAGCTGGAAGGAGGAAACAATTATCATTTATTTCATCATTAAGCATCAAGGCACAAACTCTTTTCACTACATCTCATTTCCATGGACCAACGATGGACACAGAACAGATGCCAACTATTATTTTAGTAATCGACTAATTTAATCACACTGTTAAATATCCATTTGAAAATAATAACAAATAATTAAATTCCTTTTTCAAAATCAGAAAACAAACATTTTACTGTCTGACAAGATTTCTTGATCATTTGTAGCAAAGGATGAAGTTATAGCTTAAAAATTATTCTATCAAAACATGAAAAGCTCAGCTATTTCTGCTTAATTTAAAAGTTAATACAGTGGAGATAATTCTTTTTTTTTTAATCAAGCTATTAATAATTGGACAGCAAAATGAGCTTAATATGAGATTTTTAAAAAAATATATTTTCTACAGAATTTGAACAAGGTGAAGCTAAAACTAGGAGGAGTTTTGGCTTGTAAATATATTTACAGATAAAAAAACAAACTTTATTTTTCATCTTAAATGCAAAACGTTTAGTTTCTGTACAGTTTTGGTTTAATTAGTCATCTGAGTGTTTTGGGTTTTTTCCAGTAATCTGCCTTTTTTAGAGTCTGTATACTCCAGTTAATTAATCAATTACTAAATTAGCTGCAGATTATTTCAATGATCGACTCATCACGATTAATCATTTCAGCTCTAATCACAAGAAACAAGGAGACAGGAGAGTTTAGACGATTCTGCTGTTTGTTTATTTCCTCGGTGCCACCACTGATGGCAGGAATACACCCGGAAATATTTGTTAAAGGTTTGTGGAGGAAGCAGCTGCTGTTCAGCCGGTGGATGATGTTTGGAAACAATCTTCACCAGATTGTTCAAATTCAAACACAACTGGTGGGTTTAATTAAGTCTAACGAGGCATATGGAGCGTTAATTACAGATATCCTTTTAGTGCCACGTGCCATCCATACGTTCGTTTGAGTAAATACCTTATTGGCTGCGTCCACCTTTGCACACACGGCGTCCATCGCTGCCCTCTCCTCCAGACGCCGGGCTTTCTTCTCCTTCGCTTTGTTGGATTTCCTCTGAAAACCCAGGAAATAAGGAGGCAATGAGGGCAGACTTCATGACTTTATGGAGCCAAGATGAGCGGAGGAAAAGTAAAAACACCTTTCCTCCAGAACGAGACCAATCATAACATGGCAGAAATCTATTATTATTCTATGTTTTAATCACATTTTAATTGACAAACTTTGATCTAAACTATTCCAGTGTTTGGTTTTCTGGCTGGAAGGTGAACGTCCGCAGTCTCAAGAGTCTCCACAGCATGATGCTGCCACTACCGTGTGTCACAGTGAGACATGTGCAGTTTTATCACAATATTTTTGTGGTACTGCAGAGAAAACAAGGAATAAAAACTAGAAACGTAAGCATGCTTCATGACTGGTTTTCTTTTTTCTAGAATTTATCCAAACGTGGAAAATAATGAAATAAGAATCCGCACTTCTCAAGATGTTGTATCTTACACTTTACAGTATTGCTAAATTGTTTTGGTGTATCAAATGAAACCCAAATAAAATACAATGAAGTTTGCCGTAATGTGAAGATTAGTATGGATGTTTTTAAATAACACCAATTCTAATTTTATTTAAATATATATATATTAACAGGAGGAAATTAAATGCACCTCGTGTAACAAAAGTTTCTTCAAAGTCTTATCACATTTGATGTGACAGATATTCTAACAGTCTTAATTTGAAACAATTGAAGCGAATGAGGAGGAAATATTATTACAAAATGTGTTTAGATTTAGCAAAAAATATATGAATTGGCCAAAAAACATGGTAACGTTTTTTTAAATGTGTATTGTAGATTTGAAAAGCTTGAATGTCAACTTCGTCTTGACCAGATATAAAAGTCCTCACTGCTGAGAGTCGGGCTGAACAATTGAATTAAGCACATGATGAACATTTGATGCAATTATTCTGCTGCTATGTGACAAATATTAATAGCTTCTTTTGCTGCTTTGTGCAGCAGCAACAATTATTTTTACAAAGACAAGAATAAATAAACCAAAATAATCTAAAAACATGTACAACCCAGAAGATTACAACAAGAAATGTGATCAGTCCTGCAAATCAAATTAAATTGCTGCACTTGAAATCAAATTATGCTAACATGCTAGCGATAAACAGACTGATGGAGAGAAAGAAAAACAGCTGGACAGACGAAAGGACAACAGGATGTTGGAAGGATGGACAGACCTGGATAGATTGATGGACAAAGGCTATTAAACTTTAAATACTAAAGAATATTTAACTCTGGAACTGGAAGATATTTTAAATATCCCCCCAAAAATAAACAAAACAACAGAAACAAGAAATAAAATGAGTAATGAAGTCTCTGTAAACAAAATTGTCCTTCAAAAAAATAAAGGGCCAGTTGAGACTAAAACCAGACTGGAAGACTTTTGACATTTAGTTTTTGGTAGAAAGAGAGAAAATAGGAAAAAAACAAAAAACAAATCATGCTAATGGAAATTATTGATTTTATTCTAATTTATCATGTGATTAATTGATTTATTGCTTATTGCGATAGGCTTCTGTACAGGACAGTTTGACAGATATATAGACATCTTGATGGATGGATATATTGATTGGACATTACTACTGGAGAATGAAATGGGAATTGAAGGCAAAAAAATGCAAATTTTTCATACTTATCCTGTGGAAAACACTTTAAATTAAACTCCACACTTTTCCTGAAGCCTTCAAACGTGAATATCATGCACATTCTGCTAGTGCAACAACTTGTGGAAGCAGCAAGAATGTCAAACCCTGATCTAATTTATGCGTGATAATAAAGTTCGTTGTGGTGTGTTTACAGTGCCGAAGTGATGCGTTCGCGTTTCACCAACAAACAAGCAGGAATTTAGCAAGAAAAGTGCTCAACTGCAGGCCTGAACAGACCCAGGAACAATCAAGAACTGGAATGCACGCCGAGTTGCCAACTTTAGCTCAGAGAGCATTAACTGTGTACCAGGAACAGACTGAGAAAACACGTGGATGGGTTTATTACGACTGCAGGGGAAAAGTGGGGGAACAACCAGAAGTTTGACTGAACATGTTCAGATTGTGTCTATTAGGAAAGAGGCGAAAAACTCCCAGAAAGCTTGACTTTTTAAAAAAAAATATTATTAGCAGGTGGGTGAAGGCAACACACTCGGGCCTTTGTGGCTAACTTAGCCTGCTAATAACATCACAACACACTAGCACATAACTGTCAGAAATGTGACGGGAAATGACATGTTAATAACAGGGGGAACTAGGCAAAGTATGTATAAGCTAACACTACAATGCTAACTAAGCTGTCTGGATGAGGCCAAACACCTTTAGCTACATCCATCCACCACCATCACCATCATCTTCTCCTTTCATCCTCTTTTCCTCTCATCATCACTCACATTTCAAGGCAACATTAAACAACAAAAACATAACTCACCCCCATTTTTATTTTTTTTTTACAGCTGTGACTTATCGTTTTCTTCCAGGGAAATACTCCTCTATTGTCCCGGTGCTCCTCAGTTATTATTAGTACCGTGACTCCGACCGCCGGAGGAAAGAAAAGAGGGGGAGCAGATTAATGTGACAATGATAAATAAGGTGCTAACGAAGCTAGCTGAATACGTCGCCGACTGTTGGAGGTGAAAGAAAAGCGGCGGCCAATCACAAAATCTGACCAAAATCACAATGAAAATCTTTTAATTGCTAAGTAAGCGGTCGCATTCGCGCCAACACAGCGACGTTGAATTCATTAGGGCTCCTTCCTCTGCCCCCCCTCTACGCTTTCTTTCTTTCTTTCCTTTCGTTCTTCCTCTCTGTGCCGTGCTGCATTCACTTGTTCCTTCTCCCATCGGAATTCTCAAACTCCACGTCCTAACTAACACTAAGCGCATTCAAAGCCCCACTTTCTGCCTCTAAGCAAACTTATATTTCAAATATATGTAAATTTACACTTTTGTAATATGTAAATGTATGGCTTTTATCACTTAATACCGTTATTAAGATAAATACGCATTTTATTCAACTGAAGGAGGCGATCCCTTTAAGAAAGAGAAACATTCTGGTGTAACTGTGTAAAGTAAGCTAAGAACTAGTGTCTGTTAAATAGAAACATGAGTATGAGTACGCCTGATACTCCTGATAAAGTAGTAAAGCGAAACCTGTGACAACTTCTGAAATGTGGAACAACTGTAATATCTTCTTCACCTTGAACATGGTCTTGCATTACGAAACATAGAAAGTGCTAAATTGATAAATAACAGTTACTTTCGTCCACTTTCGTGGAGTTAGAGTCGATTACATGAAATGTCAGACGACATCAATGAGTTATAATAAAAAAAGTGATTTCTGGCAGCGGTGGGATTCGAACCCACGCCCCCGAAGAGACTGGAGCCTTAATCCAGCGCCTTAGACCGCTCGGCCACGCTACCACATACACGCACTATGTCAACAAAGATGATATGTTAGTGACGTCAGGACATTTCAGCTTTTGAGATGAGTTATCTGAATGTGGCAGATTGGCTAAACACAAACAAAATACAAGTGAATTTCCAGTCAATGTTTATTTTTTGAGATACTTATTTTCTGTTTTTCTTGTTCAACTGTCTAATCCAGATTGGGATAACATACTAGATACAAAAAGCAGTTTTCAGATTATGATTTTGATATTTAAGTTAAAAACTTATCCAAAGCAACATGGCTCTATATAAAAAAAAGTAAATAATTTGTTTTGTATGGCTAACATCAATGCAATAACTAACAGTAAGTCTTTTACATCACTGTGGAGGGGTTTTCTCCTACTGTTGTTTGCCAAATTGTTTTAATTCAGCCACATCTGAGAGTTTTTCCAAGTGTGATTGACCTGTTTATGGTAATGTCTCAGGCTGATTTAAGTCCAGACTTTGAGTAGGTCATTTCAAAACACTGACCCATCAAGCGGGTAATAATGTGCTGCTGTAATTTGATCATTGTCCTGCTATATAAAGCGTTTTTTGAGTAAAGTCATCGCATATGTCACTATAAGTGTTGTTTTTCAGTAAAATTATGAAGCACCGACCACTGACAACCACTGAAGCAGCAGTGTGCCACATCGACCACTAGAAGGCGGTAAAGTGACACTAAACTCCAGTCCCAAAGACCAGAATAGAGCAGTAAAAGCAGTAAATAATAATAATAATAATAATAATAATAATAATAATAATAATAATAATAATAATAATAATAATAATAATAATGTTTGAGTGGAGCTTGGAGCAAAACGTAGCTTAATCCCACCATAACATTAATGTTTAAAGGTAATAAAAGATATGAGTGTTGTTACTACTTCTGTTATTTTTAATCTTTTTTGCTGTACAGGGTCTTTGGGTGCATTGAAAAGCATTTTATTAGTAAAATGAGATGTAATTATTATAAAATTATAGATTTCAGGTTTTTTTTGTTGTTTTTTTTGTATTTTTCTATCTTTAAAATTATGCTAATTAAAGCAGTAGTTTTTGCCCCACAGAGCAGAAACCATTTCCACTATTTTTATTTGGATGATCTGGGAAAACCTGGTTGAGCTTTGATTAGCATTATTTTATCATTTTTAAAATAATGACAACGAAGCAGATTGCTGCACAAACATGCACTAAATTCATACAACAAGGTGTTTGATGGCATTTCTGTTTTGTTTTGTTTTTTTAAGACTTTTAAGAACATGGACAAAGAGCAACTAAACACCACTAGAGGAAAGGGTGGCTGGCTTATTCTTATCACTGCAACAAGTTAAAGGCTTAAGTTAAATTAAGAAATGTCCTATCTGGATATTTCTGTGTATATTGGAAATTCTTGAGGAACTCCCAAATTACTTATATCTGGTTAAAACATCAAATTGGCATTGATTGAACAACATTGTTTTTGTGCCTCAGCATGGGATGTACAAATGTATTTTAGTCATATGACATTGGATGATCACCTAGCTCTTGAAATATCTAAATAAAGACTTTGTGTAGGGGTTCCTGTGAATCTCAGAGTACTAGCAGCAGATCTCCACAGCAGGCAGATGGCCTTGTCTCCAAACCCCGCCTACAGTCTTTTGTCCTCAGGGAATCTGTGTCTCTTGGCTGTTCACAGAAACACCTTTTTTTTTTTCCCCAATCATCAGTAGGGGGCGCAGTGAAGCCCATTTGAAAGTGAGGCCTAGTGTTCATTGCAACAAGCCTTTTCTATTATTGCAAGCTACAGCAGGAGAGGCCAGATAGTTTCTGCTCAGATGTTCTCGTCTCTGTCAGTAAGCACAGCAGCGCAGGGGAGGAGAATAAAACGCAATCAAGACCCCTGACCACCTCCACCCACACGTATACTGTTATACCTGTAACTACAGACACACTCAGCTGGATAAGGAAGGGTGGAAACAGGGGGGAGGATAAGTGAAAGAATCAACAGTGCAGTGTGGAGAGGTGCAGAGCAGAGCGGATGAAGACGGGAATGAGTTCAGAATTGCCTAGAATTGTCTACAAGCCTACGGTGTGCCTCATAAGAAGATACCTGCCCTCAGGACTGAAACATTAAATCAACTTTGATCAGTTATGCTTAATTTGCTGTGTCTTGCAGAACTACTCATACATTTAGTCATGTTGCACTCAAACCTTAGTGTGTTTTTCTTGGATTTTATGTAGCAGAGCCACTGTGAACTGAAAGTAGACATTTTTCACAAATAAAAACGCAAAAAGTGTTTAAAATCCAGTGGAACCAAGTTGCTCTGAGACGTCGCTCGAAGTCCAACCATGTGTTATTTACTATCAGTATAAATATACATGTTTCATGAAGACTTCAGAGGTTTGCTTTGCTTTGTTTCTCCAGAGCAGTACGTCATGGGTTGGTACAGTTTGGTAAGTTATTTTATCTATTTCATGTACAATCTCCTTCAGTTGTAGATCCATAGGACAACGGCACAGTCAGGGAGGAGTTACTGGGGTCACACAACACAGTCCGTTGATTGGGGGACAGAAAAACACACTAGCAGGATGCAACATTAGGCCGGTAGGTTTAACCCTGCATCCCACTGAGAATCCAACTGGTGGTGTGCATTTGATTCTCAGCAGATTATATTTGTTGACTGTGCAAAGTTTCACGTTTGCATCACCTTGTGAGCAATTATTGCCATATTTTACGCCAATTACTCAGACTATTTTAAGTAAAGAGATGCAAATTAGCTTTTGTTACCATCTGGTATAACACATTAAATGGTGACATTTATGTTTGAGTTGTACTTTGTCCCTTTTTAATTAAAGTTTATTATCAAACTGATCAATTTATGATCATATTTTTGTTTTAAAAAAAATGACAGTTCAAAGCCGAGTAGCAGAGGCCTAGTTACTCGGCTACACGGCTGCCATAATTTATTAGAGGAGGATCAAAAGGGGCGTCACCGTGATTGGGAAACCTGGTTACAGTGACCCAAGAGAAACCCCTGTAAGGCCAAAATATGCAAATATTCCTCCAAATTCTGTCATTGTAAAGCTGAGCAGGAAGCTAATCTGTGAAGCTAATGACCATTAGTCTGTGTCCTGAATTTATGTTGCAAGAGCTTTCTTCATTTCAGGATTTCATGACAACAGGAAGAGTTTTTTTCCATTCAGTCTGATTCTAGGATGGATGGATGGATGGATGGATGGATGGATGGATGGATGGATGGATGGATGGATGGAGGGATGGATGGATGGATGGAGGGATGAGTTGTGTAAAAATGTGGAGAGGAATGCAAAGGAAAACAGACGTTTTCCTCACGAGGAGCAGACTAACAGACAGGCGAGAAGAAGGAAGGAGACAGGTGGAGAGCTAAGGAGGTGGTGGGAAAGAGAGGATGGGCGGAACGCCGAGCTACAAGAGAGGATGAAGAGGAGGAGGAAGACTGGTGGATGAAAGGAGGGAGCTAAGAGGGCGGTGAGAGGGAGATATATAACAGTTGTTCATTAGTGAAGATATGTTAGGGACCGGAGAGACGGTGGACTAATGAGAAGGGAGACAAGGAGGAGAGGAGAGAAGGTGCAAAGGGTGAAAATGAGACTGAAGAGGGAAGAAGAGGAGCAGGGGAGGGGAGGGGTGGGGTAAGAGGTGGGTGGAGGAGAAGGGGTGGTGAGGTGGTGGAAGTGAGCGAGGCGAAACTGACTGGGGGAGGGGAAGGGAAGAATTTGCACGTACGCACACCACACAAACACACACTGTTGAAACTGCAAGGAAAGAGGAAGAGGAGAACGCAGAAGAGTGAGATGATGAGGGCAGGAAAGACACAGGAAGAAGAGGAGGAAGATTTGGAGAAGGAGGTTGGGTAGGGACGTGAAAAGAGGTGAGGTTGTGAAGGCGAAGGAACAGATGAAAAAGGAGGAGGATGTGAGGAATTAGGGCATGGAGGAGAGGAGGAAGAGAGAAAGTTACAGAAGCAAAAAGACCGACGAAACTGGAAGGTGAATCAATCAAATGAAGGAGGAAGCAGGAGCACTGAGAAGGAGGAAGAGGAGGGAGGGGTGGAAGACAAGGAAGATCATGGAGGAGATGGTGATGAGCTGGGATGAGGAAGAGGAGGAGGAAGAGGAGGTGGAGGAGCCTGTAACAGTCTGCTGCATGTCAACAAGTAACCCTTGTGAGGGTCACAGCAGGTTGCTGCAACAGCTGTCCATAAAAACACTCTATATTCTGCTCTCACGCTCACACACACAAACACATACACAAACACATCTACCTGTGCGTGTTCAGGTGCACACACAGATCCAACGAAATGTCTGCAGACACGAGGCCGGGACTCGTCTCAAGCTTTTGACATTTTAAATGAAAAGAGTAAT